GTTATGAGCAGAGCTGATGTTTACATAGAATAGAACAAAGATTTGCTTTCCCAAAAGTTGCACATGACGAACATCATCAGAGCAAGGTAACAACGTAACAATAAAATTCAAGCTAACGAGTCAAGAAAACTCACCGGCAAATCCCTAAAAACGGTATATATACTCTACATCTGGCCTCTTTGATGAGGTACAATGTGATTGGGTTAGTCATGGTCATTTGTCAAACAGGCGCATACACATACAGAGACAGACACACTCACAGGCTTCGAAGTTGACATAGGACCGTAACTAACCAAATCACTTTATACTTCATAAAAGAGGCCAAATGAAGAATATAGATAGAGTATTTTAGGGATTTCCGGTAAGTTTTCTTGACTCGTTAGCTTGCATTTGGTTGTGACGATGATACCTTGCTCTGATGATGTTCGTCATGTGCAACTTTTAGGAAAGCAAATCTTTGTTCAATTCAATATAAACATCAGCTCTGGTCATAAGATTTTGGGAAAATTCAACTTACAGACTTTCATCATCATTTTAATTGTTGAGCTTACTTGCATTTCGATTGAAGATGTTACCAACCTCGGATGATGTCCGTCATGTGACGCACGAAAGCTTAGCACCTTTTAATCGGAATCGAAGGAGATTGCCTCGGAAACAGCATCAGCATGAATCTTTCAGTAAAGCCAATCGACAGCTGGTCGAGAGGAATCCGCCGTCGTCTTCTGGTGGAACCGACCTTCGCTCAACAATAATCATGCAAACAATGGACTCCGGACAAACAACTTCCATGAAACGAAAGGAGATCGTAATCATACAAAATGCCACACCATCTTGGTCTTCATACCTTTGACTAGCTACTCTTCGTTTATCAAATGGTCTCGGCTGACTGAGTTGGTATGGTACAGCGCTTGGCCGAATTGCCCGATCACCACCGGCCCGATCCGCTTCTGCCTCAGCAGAAGCCGACCGAACTCATGGGCTGCCGATTTGCACGACCTGTCTCAACTCTGAGGGGTGGAGGGGCGTCGGCCTGTACCTCGAGAGTGTGTCGACTGGAGCACGGATGCCTGCAGCTCAGCTCCGTTTGTCTCGGATCCCAGTCTGTAATTAGCAGGATTGGCATTCAGCAATTAGACGGTAGCATTCGGTTAACTTGGCCATTTCTCCCTTGCTCCCACTTCAAATTCACTCTAACTTCTCTCTCTCTCTCTCCATTTATCTATATATCTATCTATCTATTTCTGTATTTCGGTCTTTTTCGAGTGAACAAACAGAACTCTTTGTTGGTCACCCCTCATACTAGTAGATCCTCTGGTTGTGGTAGTCATGGCGCTGCTGCTCGGATTGAGTCACCATCATTGGCCTCTTTATCAGCGTCTCAGTTGTCTTCCCACTCTCTCCAGAGTGGGCCACTTCAACGTAATCCCTTTTGGAGTGGCCAATTGGGCGAGCCAAGCTGGACCTTGATATCCTCC